AGAATGAAAGAAAACTAGCTGTCAACTTGGATTTAATTAAAGAGAGGAGAGAACAAGCTCAAATTAAAGTTGCAGCCTATCAACAAACGATGTCTCGATATTATAACTCTCGTATAAGAAAAAGGAGGTTCTAACCCGGTGACCTTGTGTTACGTAGAGTGACTCAGGCAACTAAGGAGCCTAACGAGGGCAAACTTGCCCCCAATTGGGAAGGCCCTTATAGGGTTGTTCGTACAAGAAGACAAGGCACTTATTGGCTAGAGACATTAGGGGAAAGGCAACTTGACCACCCTTGGAATGTATAACACCTAAGGAAGTAATATTAGTAAAGTTATAATTCAATATTAGTATTAGCTTTTATTTTTCCTGGTGTTTAGTGTTAGTTTCAGGTCGATTCGCAACTTAGTCTTTCATTTTCAGTAAGCCTTAAGGCAATAATAGTTTTTAATAAAATTCCTCTCAGTTGCGTTAACTCTTGGTTAGATATCTTTACACTTGTAATGTCCCCGTTCTATAAGGGATAGTCAATAAGCGTCCCATACTAAAAGGACCCGGGCTGAATTAATCCCGTAATCAATATCCCCATACTATAAGGGATGGTAAATAAGTGTCCTGTACTAAGAGGACTCGGGCTGAATGAATCCCGTAATCAATATCCCCGTACTATAAGGGATGATAAGTAAGTGTCCTGTACTAAAAGGGCCAGGGATGAATTAATCCTGTAATGAATGTCCCCGTACTATAAGGGATGATAAGTAAGTGTCATGTACTAAAAAGACCCGGGCTGAATTAATCCCGTAGTCAATGTCCCCATATTATAAGGAATGGTAAATAAGTGTCCTGTACTAAAAGGACTCGGGCTTAATGAATTCCGCAATCAATATCTCCGTACTATAAGGGAGACTAACAGTGCTCCATACTATAAAGGGCCCAGCTATATAAAACCCATAGTCTTTGTCACAAAGTGATACAAGATCATAATAGAGTTCTTCATACAATACCACTACTTGTATAATGGGAGTTTGGTTCATGACTAAAAGATAATATTCAACGTTATAATAGTAAAGGGAATCGAAATTGCATAAAGATAAAACGAGGAACAGAAAGCTATTCCTCGTCGTCTTCCTCTTCCTCCTCAGCATCCATGGCATCATCTAAATCAGCCGGAAAAGGTTCAAAGCTTCCAAAATCTACATTTGGATAGGTAGAAAGAGCGTCAGCTTAAAAAGACTCAAAGCCATCCTTGAAATTCTTTACTTTCAGATACTCAAACTCTGGGGAGGTTTTGAATTTAGCAATAGCAGATGGCCCTTTAAAGGCGAGCTTGGTAGAAAAATCGGCGTTGAGGTCCGTGATGCGCGCGTTATAGCTGGCTCGCACATCTGCTAGTTTTTTGGTAAGGGTCGCTTCAGCCGCCTCCGCCTTCTCTTAGCGCCCCTTTTCTCTCACAACCTTGCTTTGACTTGATTCGTGCGCCGCACAAAGGAAAGATACTGTGGAATTAAACTCTTCCTCCTTTTTATTGAGCAGCATTTTGGAAGCTATGGCTCGGTGCGACACACTCGTAAGGAATGTGGCAAACTATGAACAAAAGGTAGCAGTGAGAGCTAAAAAAAAATAATAATAATAATAATAATACTGTGGTAAACAAAGGAAGGACACTCACTCGACCCAGATCGTGAAGGACGACATCCAAGGTTTGCTCAAATGAAGCTGATTCCAAATCATTAACATCATCTGCAAGAACAAAGTTATCCATCATGCGGGCAGCAAAGGTAGTATCACAAAGGACCGATTGGCACTTGGATGAAGCAATGGGCCTTGTAGGTTGGCCAGAACAGCCCTAGAGAGGTTCTCCTTGGGGAAGCAATGGGGTAAACGAGGGTTCAACGGATCCGCTGAAAGGGTTCTCACTGTTAAGCATGTCCTGAAATAATGGTTGTGTAGGAACGTTAAAGGTTGTCAAAAACGGATTTTGGTTAAGTAACGCCTCCTGTAACGAAGAAGTTTCAGTAGGCGGATGAGTTACTTGATTTGAACCACTCTTTTTTCTCCTCCTGGCCGGTGGAGATGTGTTATCATTATTGCAAAGCTGTTTAATCACATCATGATCGAATATCGCTGGTACAGCTGCAAAGAGGGCTAACACAATCAATATAGACAATAAAAGGAGTGCACAATTTGGCTCAAGAGATAAACTCACAATACCTTCAACTATGGTGAGGGGTGTTGCGACAACCCTGTTGCTGAGTTCAAATGAAGCAATGGTCTGTGGATTCACTATCTTAGCCCACACTTTGAACGGGTACGCATAGGCTCTTGCTATATTAGCATGCTCTTCATCGGTTAGGTCACGATCTATTGAAGTAAGAAGTGTTAACTAAGTCAAAGCAGCCATCTGAGGAGAGTAAATAAAATAAACTTTTTACAAGCAAGATTTGGCTCACTCTATGATCGGGGCACAGAAAAGCTCTTGTCCTCGGGGCTGGTACCTAACTCCCAACCATCTCCGGACACAAATAAGAAAGCTAATCTCCATTTTCAGGGGTAGCTAGGAAGCTTTCCTAGCAAGGCGTCAGGTGGGTGGGCAAAGTTGAGCCAATCACCAGCTTTCTTCCTGGGTTGAAAGCAGTGAAGAAACTCCTTCAATGTTAAAGGAGTATTACCGCACAAATGCCACAAAATCATGCATCCCATAACTGTTTTCCAAGTATTTAGAGAAAGTTGGGAGGGAGCTAGATTAAAGAACCTGAGTAGCTCCCTAACAAATTTAGGTAAGGGGAACCGTAAGCTAGCATCGAAAGACGTCTCAAAGAAGTATGTATAACCTTCCGGAGGATCGTCACATACTCTTTCATGAGTAGAAGCACATCGGACCTCCACAGACTCCGGGAATGAAAACTTCAGCATCAGTTGGCCAAGGTGGTTGGCGTTTAAGTACGAAGTTGCGTGTTGCAATTTGATGGGAAGCACCTTATCGACTGAATTATTGCGCTCAATGACCTTCCCGTGAGGTTGGGTTGAGGAAGCCATGGGAAAAGGAAAGGAGTGCAAGTGGTAAGGAGAAAAAGAAGCAAGAGGAGGGGAAGGAGGCAGAAGAAGGTAATTAAAATGTTCAGGCACTCACTGCGACTTAAATAGGCAAAGACAAATTTAATCTACTGCGACAACAGTTATAAAAGTAGCCGTTAAAAAATGGACACTTGCAATTTGAAATTGAAAATGCGAGGCCCCCTCCTCTAGTTGCCTGCCAATTAGAGTCCCTTGCAGAGAGTCCCTGCGTTACTAGACGAACAAATGGAAACAATCCAAGGCCTATACCAGAGGCTCCTAAGTTGTTTAATAGGGGTCCCCTACATTTTTCTCTTGATAACTACAAGTAAGTGGCCGTAACACAAGGTATATGCCGGTTTCTACGTTATAAAGGAAAAGGGAATCCTTTGTAACTTTATGACAAGGGGGTCCCTTGCACCTTTTTGAAAAGGGAATCCTTTGTAACTTTATGACAAGGGGTCCCTTGCACCTTTTTGGCAAAGGAGTCCCTTGCACCTTTATGACAAGGGGGTCCCTTGCACCTTTTTGGCAAAGGGTTCCTTGCACCTTTTTGACAAGGGAATCCCTTACACCTTTTTGACAAGGGAGTCCCTTGCACCTTTATGACAAGGGGGTCCCTTGCACCTTTTTGGCAAAGGATATCTTGTACCTTTATGATAAAGGGATCCCTTACACCTTTTTGACAAGGGAGTCCCTTGCACGGGTCCCTTGCACCTTTGTGACAAGGGGTCCTTGCACCTTTTTGATAAGGGAGTCCCTTGCACCTTTATGACAAGGGAGTCCCTTGCACCTTTTTGGTAAATGAGTCCCTTGTACCTTTATGACAAGGGGGTCCCTTGCACCTTTTTTTGCAAAGGAGTCCCTTGCACTTTTATGACAAGGGGGTCCCTTGCACCTTTTTGGCAAAGGGTCCTTTGTACCTTTATGACAAGGGAGTCCCTTGCACCTTTTTGGTAAAGGGTCCCTTGTACCTTTATGACAAAGGATCCCTTACACCTTTTTGGCAATGAGGTTTCTTGCACCTTTATGACAAATGGACCATTGTTATCTTTGATGGAGAGGTTCCCTCCATTTGCCATGAAGGCCCCAATAATATAAATATATAAAATGAAATATATATATATATTATATTTTTTCTACAAATCTTCCAGGGAATCAAACACTTTCCATTCTCTTAGTTTGAGATCTAAACATGAGAATGGGGGGCAACTGATGATACGGTCTCTATAATCCAACACGAATACACAAGTTCTAACAGACACGGAAGCCAAGAAGTCAGATAAGCTACAGTTACGAAGCAATATGGATAAGGATAAGTTCTTCAGATCTGTATTGTACTGGAATAAAGAGATTAATTCCCTTATCAAATACTATAATCTATTCTATAAAAAGGGTAACCATCCAATTCAAAAGGTAGGCAAAGAATATCCCTAACAGAGTACATTGATCTTTCTAGTCTTGTACTAACTTGACCGTCGGAGACTCTTGGGCCGGTCCCCTATCGGCGCCTTTTCGACGACGCTTTCTCTTCTCTACAGGTAACGACGTTGTTTTAGGTCGTGACCTAATCTTACATCATCAACTTTGATCTTAGTCATTGAGGTTTTTGATGTATGGGGTATTGATTACATGGGTCCTTTTGTTCAGTCAAATAAAAATGAGTACATTCTTGTGGCTGTTGATTTTGTGTCTAAATGGGTTGAGGCAGTGGCTACTAAAATTGCCAATCACGTAGTCATGGTTGAGTTCATTCAAACGAACATTTTTAGTCGGTTTGGTATGCCACAAGCTATTATTTGTGATGGGGGTGCTCACTCTGTAATAGATATTTTCATACTTTGGTACAAAAATACTCCATCACTCTTAAAGTTGCTACTCCTTATCATCCCCAAACAAGTGGTCAAGTTGAAACATCCAATCGTGAGAATAAGAGAATTCTTGAAAAAATGGTTAAGCCATATCATACGGATTGGTCATTCAAACTAAATGATGCTTTATGGGCTTACCAAACAGCTTTTAAGACTCCAATTGGTATGTCACCTTACCGTCTCGTCTATGGTAAAGGGTGTCATCTTCTTGTAGAATTAGAGCATAGAGCTTTTTGGGCCATAAAAAAACTCAATTTTGAAATGAACTTTGCTGGTTCTAACAGGAAGCTTCAACTAGCTGAGCTTGAAGAATTGTGTAATGATGATTATGAGAGTGCTAAGGTTCATAAAACCAAAACTAAGGCATTTCATGACAAGCATATCTTGCGTAAGACTTTTAAGCCCGGGCAAAAGGTTTTATTGTATAATACACGACTAAAACTTTTACGTGGAAAGCTTAAGTCACATTGGGAGGGTCCATATATGGTTATTTCTATTGCGCCTTATGGTGCAATTGAAATACAAGATTACAAGACTGGACAAGTGTCCAAAGTTAATGGAAAAAGGTTAAAAGCCTACATTGAGAGTAGTGTGCAGAGAGACACAGTGGAGGCAGTAAAACTTCATGATCCTATTTACTTGGACTAGATAGGTCAGTTATCGTCGAGCTATCGAAGTTAAACTTAGCATTATGTTGAGCTATCGACGTTAAACTTAGCATTTGTATGTTGTAATATAGTTTATTTTTATTTTTGCTTTAATTGTTAGGTTTTAGTTTTTTTTTTTTTTTTTTTTTTTCTAGCTTAGTTTAGATTTAGATTTATTAAGAAAAAGAAATAAAAATTGAAAACAACAGAAAAATAAAAAATTTGTCCTCAAAGCTCGAGCTTTCATTCTAAAGCTCAACTATTAAAAGCTTAAGCTTACACACGATGAGCTCGAGCCATTCTTCTTCACTAACTTTAGGGTTTTTGGTGGAAGGCTCGAGCTCTCAGGTTCTAAAGCTCGAGCCCCGAGTTTTAAAGTTTTTAAAAAAACTCGAGAGTTCTCATTCTTCCATTCTCTCATACTCTATATCTCTCTCTCAAAGTTTCTCTCAAAGTTTTCTTCTCCATACTAATTCAGCATGCTCTTTGATATTATCTTTCCAGATTTGCAGGTGCTAATCAGGCAAAAATCTCCATCTTTATCTTCTTCCCATTGCTTCCTTTTTAATTACTTAAATTTCTAGATCTGGACTAGGAAAGCATGAGTTTATTTTTGGATGAATGATTATTTGGGCTTTCATAAGTTATCTACATACAATGGATATTTAATGGACTCCTTGGTTGATCTATATATTGATTTCTGAGATCTGTGTTGGTGTAGTTTTAGGTATAGCTCGAGCTCTAAAATCTAAAGCTCGAGCCTTGCTTCAAGCTTGAGCTTTAATTCCCAGATTGCAGAAATTAGTGGATTTTGGTAATTTGAGGAGATTTCTTTGATGAATACAATTAATTGCAAGTTAAGATGGTTCATTCTACTCCTTCTAAGTGTGCTAAGGTGACTAAAGATGTTTTGCCAAGTGCTTGGAAGGCAATTCCAATTTATTATGAAACGACCTTCGATTATCAGGAGTTTATCACTGATCCTCGCACTAGATGGGCTATGAAGTCCTTTAGTTATAGGCATCTTCTACATCTTATAGTTCCTGTTACTAAGATTACTTATCCTCGTCTTGTTCGTTTGTTTTATCTCAATCTTGTTTATAGTGAGAATGACCCTTGGGAGCATAGAACTGTGGTCGATGGGCATGAGTTGATTGTTAATCCTAGTGTTATTGCTGCAGATTTGGAATGTTATCATAAGCTTCCTCAGGTGGTAGATGAGAGGCATAGTTGTCCTAATTTCACACATTTCCCTAGGGTACCAACTACAGAAAATTTAATTCAAAAGTTGTGTGATGGTAGGTTTGCCATGAGAAAGCGCAGTAGTACTACCAAGGCTAAGATTCCAAAGAGGTTATGGATTTTGGATTCTATTATCTCTTCTAATGTTCATCTTCTTGGACGTAAGAATATTCGGAATACTAATTTTCTTCAGGCACTCTATGCTATTCAATTTGAGCATTGGTATTCATTTTCTCAGATGATTTTCTCCCAGTTACTGGAGTTTTGGTCAGAAATTGGACCACATAAGAATGTTCCAACTCATAAGCAACCTTTTCCATATATGATTACCAGGCTATTAGAGCTACAGGGTTTTGTGGTAGATAATAAAGAGGAATCTTGTGATGCATCTCCTCTATTTAGAATGAAGGAATGGAATAAGGTTTGGACACATATACCAACGAGTCGCCGTAATGCAGAGGAGTTTAGGATGAGGGTTATTTAGCAGTTATTACTAGAGTGGCGGATGAGGACGATGATGAGGCCACAGAGGATGAGATAGATATCGCTGATTGCCAGGCACCACCGAGGAGGAGGCCAGTTCCTGCAGCACAGCCTAAGAGTTCTTCTTAGGCTGAGATTAGAGAGTTACATGCCAAGGTGGCAGAGCTGCAGGATGGACATACATTGCTGCGAGAGATGCTGATTGCGCAGCAGAGCATTCTTGCCGAGCTATTATGCCGCACTTTATTTGCCGCTTCTACTTCTACAGATCTTCCTCCACCTCATATGGATTAGCTGTCTAGGGCTTTTCTGTATTTTGTTTTCCTAGATAGGCATCTTTTAATGACTAGGGCAGTATTTTTGATGTATCTCATTCTATATGTTATATTTCTACCCTAAGTCTGTTATTCAAAGCATTGTACTGATCATGATTATTTATATACATGTTTTTTGCCTATCCTATACTTATGTTGATATTTGAGCTGTATGTGATATTTCTCTGTTATTACTCCATATACTTGATACTCTGATGTGTGTTGGAGGTTGATGATTTTGCCAGGTACTACAAACCAAGTTTGGGGGTGACTTCTTTATTTCACCCTCCTATGCTTCATATTGGTATATATTTGCTGGTCTGATATAGTATGGTAATATCTTTCTAACTCTCTTTTGTTTTCACACATTGAGGACAATGTGCACACTAAGTTTGGGGGTAAGGGGAAATTCAATTTTTGGTGATCTATTAAACACAAGGTCCTGCATTTTTTATTTTAAAAGCATAATTTTGAGTCTGTTGGTTGTCATGAATTATTTCTGCAGTCTGATGTTGGTTAGAAATGGTCTGTATGCCGAAATTATGTTGAAAAGGAATTCTTGAAAAAATTTTAAATCAGTTGGTAGCCTGTGGTCCATTTTAATAGGATGATTATTGTTTAATGATATTGATCTCTGAAATACTCCACTTTGCACATATTCACACTAACATGAATTCTGTGGGGTATAAACTGGAAGTCTAGTTTTGTTTTGAGCTAAACTAAGATGAGTAGGTGAATTTGATAATTTTGATAACCAAAGCATATAAAAAAAATAAAAGAAAGGAAAGAAAAGGTATGTATGCAATAAATGAAAAAAAATTCTTCACCAATGTGAATAAAAGAGAAAAAAAAAATTAAAGAAAGAAAAGTGAAGAAAAGATGTAGAAAATGGTCAAGTTCAGGTCTGTACCTAGATTGCTTGAGCAATTAAGTCCTTAAGGGTGTGTTCTGACACCTAATGCCGTAAGACCATCTGGATTGGGAGTCATTGGCTGAAAGCTTGTTACATAAGGAGTTTAGGTTGCCTAGATTACTTGAACAATTAAGTCCAAAGGGGTGCTTTATCACTTAATGCCTTAATACCGTCTAGTTTGGGAGTCATTGGCCGAAAGTTTGTTACATGGGTAATTTAGAAAGCTTAATAGACTTAAGCATTGCACAGTATCCTTTTTGAAAAATGTATATATGGAGAAAATAATAATGCCTTGGGAGTTAGAATTTGAAAAGTTTGCCTATAAGTTAAGGGATAGCACGGAATACGTGCAAGTATGGATAGTAAGCCACATGTTTGACTGTGAGTTCACTTTTAACGAGTTTTAGAGATTAAGATTATTGATTAAATGATTAAACTGACATATGGGGACTATGACTACTAAATTGAAATTGGAAGTTGAAAGTTTTTCTGATTAATATAATTGGTTGTTCTTCCTATATTTGATTGATTGATGAACTACAGAAATATCATAATTTGAAAATAGGCTTGAGTGAGCTTATTGTATAAATAAGGCACTGTCTAAGATGTTTATGGGTACCATCACTAGAAACCCTCATGAGACTACAACTCGTCCATTAGGGGTAACCTAGGGGTTTAAAGGCATGTTGTATATGCTAAATGTAACCATGATTCCCACGAAAGTGGCTTTTTAGTTCTGTATTGCAAAGGAACTAGCAATATGTAAGTTTGGGGGTGTTATGAGCGTTGAATATTGCATATTCGAGCCCTAAATGTACATATGTTAAGACCTAAAGTGATACTTCTTTCCTAGAGAAACAGTTAAAACCGAGACTTTATGATGAAAAGACTGATATCGAAGCTTACAAAGTCGTTGTCGGTTATTCAAAAACAAGCCGAGAGCTTAAATGGTGAAGTTTGGAAGAATTCAGGTACCAAAGCTCGAGCTTAAGTTCTGAGGCTCGAGCCCTACAACAAAAAGAAGAAAAATCAACAAGGCATTAAAGCTCGAGCTCTACTCCTTAAGCTCGAGTCTTCTAGGATAGATTGGATTTATAAGCTACGGGGATTATTCTTTTCCAAGTCTTATTTCATTCCAAATGGCTAGTAGACCTAAAAGTCCACTTAACCTTTATTTCTTCTATAAAAGAAGGCACAGGCCTTGATAGAAGATGTTCCTTTTTCTCGTATTATTCAGAAGGCTGATATTGTGGTAGTGGCTTTTAGGGTTTCCAGAACCATAAAAGGTAAAGATCCTGAGAAAAGATATGTCGTCTGTGACAATGAAGATGACAACAATACAGATGATATTCTGTATCATCATGAGTAGCTAATTCCTCTCTTAGGACACTGATGTAACCCGATCTAAGTATTATGGTTTGATGGTTCTAACTCTAGGATATTTCAATATATTATATTTCTGATTATATGATTATGAGTAATTGAGACAACTCAATTGGATCTTAAAGGTTTAAATAATTTCTGAAAAGTTATTACCTTGTCTTAGATATAACTGTTCTTAAATTATTCTTACCCCATTCTTATTAGACAGTTTCTAGTGGAGCCCTACTAGACATAAAAATGGAGATCATGTAATGGTGTTCCAATATTTTTTTATAAATGAATGTTTTCATAGTATATGCATAGGAAAGATGGATTGTTTGCAAAATTAGTTAAAGTATGTAGGTTGATAGTCCATACTAACAGCAGATAGGTTATAGTTAACTGCAATTTATAAAACATCTTTCTTTAAAAACTAAATTTAACGAATGTTATCGAGTTTAATTCATTTGAAATATAAATTGTTAAATTCCCAGAGTTGAATAGTTAACCATAGTATGAAGGTTGTGGTGAAGTCAAAGCCCTAAGACTTTTTCTCTCTCTGACCTCTTTATTTTAAATTCAGTTTAATTTTATTTTATGCTCGTAACAACCAATCAATCAATTCAACCAGTTACCTGTAAACCAAGAAATAAGTTTGATTAGTTAAAACAAAGCAAAGAACACTCA